CTTTTATTTTTTTGGCAATATTTTCAGAAGTTTGGAACTAGTTTTCACACTTGAAGTGCAATCTTTTTTCTTGAAATTTTACCGGACTCCTTATTAAATGTTTTTTCAAGTTCAGGTTTTTTTCACCTGCATCTTCATTTCCTAATTTATCTCTATTTCCAATGACACCTCCATTTACGCTCCATTATGATATATAATGCACTATGTATTTTTCAGAACTTAACTGCTTAAAATAAAGGATGTATATGAATCTGATGCTTTCTCTATTGCCAATCTTTGCATTTTAAAGATTAATGAACTGCACTGGAGAAAAGAATGGATGTTGCATCCAATCTGGGGGAGGAAAAAGCTTTGCATTGCTTCAGAAGTTTGGACTTGGAGTGATTGAGAGATATGGGCAGTATGGAAGATGTCTGCTCATCAAATGCTAGTCATTTCCCAGAATAATAGAACAGAAAAACTATTAAGTCTATGGTGGGCCCCTGCACAAGGGACAACTTCATCCCCTGGCATTCCCTGCCTTTTGCTGCACTGATGCATCGGCTCATCCAAAGTGACATTGTATGTACCTCACTTCTATTTCCTGTTTTGGTTAGTTTGCAGCAATTTGAAAGGTTTAGAAGAAGTTGTGGGAGGGAGATGAAAGATGATTTTGGGAATACACCACCCAGTGGGTTTGTTTTTGTTTTTTGGTGTCAGGAGCGACTTGAGAAACTGCAAGTCGCTACTGGTGTTAGAGAATTTGTCGTCTGCAAGAACGTTGCCTAGGGGACTCCCGGATGTTTTGTGTTTTTACCATCCTGTGGGAGGCTTCTCTCATGTCCCTGAATGAGAAGCTAGAGCTGAGATGGGAACTCACCCTGCTCCCTGGATTCAAACCACCAACCTGTCAGTCAGCAGTGCTGCTGGCACAAGAGTTTAACCCATTGTGCTACCAGGGGCTCCTACCCAGTGGGTGAAAAGGTGAGATACATATATCCCAAAGGCTGTATGCTGCCAATCTCTAAGGTAAATATTGGAAAGAGCATTTTTACCAAGAAAATACATGCGACATAATTTAAAGGAAAAATCCAATTGAGTGGGGGAGGGGGATGGATAAATAGAATAACAACTTTGCTGAAAAACAAGCAACAAGCTTTATTGAATTCAGAGCCATTCTAAACAGAGCCTGGGATCTACTTTTTGGACTAGGATAGATATATTGAATAGAGAATCTGGGAGTGAGAGTCCACTACAGTAATATTTCAAATTCTGACTTGAACCATGGAATGTACAAGCAGTCCCCGAGTTATGAACAAAATAGGTTCTGTAGGTTTGTTTGTAAGTTGAATTTGTATGCAAATTGGAACAGGTACCTTTTTAAAGGGTACCACCAATATATATGTGTCTCTGTGTGTGCGTATTTGTATATATATATCTCGGCTGCAGAACTTCCTCCCTAGTTGGGATTAGATCACCTCCTTCCCTCCTGTCATTTCACAAACAAGTGAAAACTTGGCTTTGGGAGCAGCATTTGGCCCAGCATAATTAGCTGTGCAATACAGCTGGAATTGGCTTTGGATTGATGAATATGATTATCTGGCTTTGGATCTATGCACAATAGTCCTATAATGTTTACATATGTTGTTTGAATCTTGTTTTAAATTTCTGTTTAATTAGATTTAATTTTTGTTGTTGTTCAGGCAACTGAATCCCCTTCGGGGTGCGAAGGGTAGCATATAGATGTCATAAATAAATAAATAGCATACGGAAGGGTTAACAACCCTTTGGTGTTTGTTTTGCTGTTGCGGTCCTGTTCAGAAGACTTCACCTCACTTTCTGTCCCTGTGAGAATTGGATTTTGAAAAATTTGGCTTGTTGTGGAAACAAGAATTGTGATAAAGCTTCAGTGGAGACCCTCCTTTCCTCATTATAACTCTTTCAGGAGTAAATTCCCCTTCCAAGGGGTAGATTTCTCCCACTTCCTGTTGTCTCACCCCTGTTCTTAACCCCCAGATCATGATGCGCCTAGCAATCTGCAAAATAATATCAACTAATCAGAACTTGTGACAAAAGTGCTTATACATGTTTATATCTGTCACACGTATTGCCTTTGCTGGACATTCTCAAGCTATAGTTCTAGTATGTAAAAGCCAGTGTTTCAGAGCCAGGAGATTCTATTTTTCAACCAGGAAATAAACCTCTTTCTTAAACAAATGACTTTAGCAGTTCAGGGAGCTCAAAAAATGTAGCAACATTACACCCATACTATTGCAAAACCTGGTGGCCATTTTCAGGACATATACACTTAAATATACAATTTAAGAAAGGAACAGATTATATGGCTTTCTAAAGTCCCATGGGATGCTAATGTGGGCTCCTAAACCCTGGCAGTTGTTCACTCCTGATATATGGTGGTTACGACACTTAAAGGGGAAAGTATGCTACAAATCATCTCAGTTGTGGTTCACTGTGGGTCAAATAATAGCAAGCATCAATAAGACAATCTTTCAGCCCAGCTTTCATTTGTATCAAAATAAGTTCTCCATAAATCAAAATTCAATGTACGTACAATACAGCCGAAATCCAATTTTGAGTCCCAACCAAAGTAAACCAATTAATCAGTGAGATTTACAAACAGATTCAGCAATATGTGTCAACACAACATATTTGCACACTGTTTCTGACATTGCTTCATTGTCAAGAATTATCTATGCTCCAGTAAAATTCAGTTGTCTCCACTATTCAAAACTCCCAATGGCATGAAACATACAAACAAGGCATTGCTATATAGACTCGTATATAAATCGACCTTATGTATAACTGGAGGGAAGATTTTGGACCCAAAATTATGGATTTTTATATGACCTGTGTATAAGTAAAAGGTCATTCCGCTAGGGGGGAAAGTACCAATGTTGGCTCAGGTGGCCTGTAGCCCAAGGCCATCACTGTCATTTCCTTGATTGTATGACCAAAGTTTCTATACTTATACATGAGTATATAGTGTATACAATAAATTTGTAAAACTTGCAATTTATACCTAAATTTGTGAAGTACACTTCCCATATCCATGAGGGAATACATTCCCAGATTTTGTATGGATATATGACATAATGAATAAGAGCAAACCTTGTTGAAATGAAGGACATCCAGACCAAGAATACTATACAGTCACACTGAAGGTCTTAGAAAATACTTAGGGAAGTAATCCTTTTTGGAAATGGATACATGAAACCACAACCACCAATTCCATGGATACAGCGGTCATACTGTATATCATTTGTTAATACCTAGACCCAATCCAGTAATGATCAATCATAAATTAATAAACAAAACTATAAGCACAAGTTTGATACTAATAATAAAAGTCAATGTTCCCATTCTGATAAACCCTGACATCCTTAATCAAACCTCATCTGTGGGAGATGGGCAGCACATCAATATTATTTCTTTGACAGTATCCACACTACCTTGTTAAATTAGTCATTGCTATCATTAACCAAAAATGCATCATGGATTTGTTCTCGAAGGCTTTCATGGCCAGAATCACTGGGTTGCTGTGAGTTTTCCAAGCTGTATGGCCATGTTCCAAAGCATGATCTCCTGATGTTTCGTCCACATCTATGGTAGGCATCCTCAGAGGTTGCGAGGTCTGTGGGAAATTAGGCAAGTGGGGTTTATATATCTGTGGAATGTTCAAGGTGGGAGAAAAACTCTTGTCTGCTTGAGGCAAGTGTGACAATTACAACAGAAAGCATGTGGACATTTTTAACAGAAAGGAGGAAACCATGAAAATGAACAAAATCTGGCTACCAGTATTTAAAAAATCTAAAATCAAGATGGTAAACAAAGAAGACTAAAAAAACAGGGAAATTCCTTTTAGGAAACAATCAGCGCCAGCTAACACCTCCTAACAAAGGATTCACCCAGGCAGGAAGCATCCAGGCTTTGAAGCCAAAAGGCCAGTCAGCGCTAATCAAGGTGGCCAACTGCAACATTCACACCTGCCTCAAACAGACAAAGAGTTCTTTCCCCCATCCTGGACACCCCACAGATATATAAACCTGAGTTGCCTAGTTTCCAACACACCTCACAACTTCTGATGATCCCTGCCATACATGTGGGCGAAACTTCAGGAGAGAATGCTTCTGGAACATGACCATTCAGCCTGGAAAGCCCACAGAAATCCATAAAGGATTTGTTTTATTATTATTATTATTATTATTATTATTATTATTATTATTATTATTATTTACGGCAATTGTAGACCGCCTTTCTCAGCCTTATGGCGACTCAAGGTGGCTTACAGAAATTGGCCAGAATTTGATGCCATACATTCATAAAGTACAATTAAAAACATTCAACCTAATATTATAAAAACCATATAAACCATTTAAACCATTAAAAACATATCACCAGTGTCGTCCTGTTAAAATCATTGTCCAATAGCATCGTCTAGTCATTCCGTGTTTATTCTTCCTATTTCATAATTATTTATTCCCGCTGCATGTGTTTTTGTGAATCTTCCTTTTAAGGCAGGGTTGGGAAACACGTGGTCCTCCAGATATTAGATGGCAATTCCCAGTAGTCCTCTCTATTGGCTAAACTGGCAGAAACCTGAAATCCATTATCATCTGTTGGGGTCCTATAATCCCCACACTTGCTTTAATATAATCACTAATTTTCATTTCCTTATCTTTTCAAGTTCTTATCTAAAAATCACTATATATTTTCAATTGCTTTTCATATGCCAGTTTATAGACTGAAAAAAAATCATGATAGTTTCTTGGTACCTTTAGCAGCAACTCCAGTAAAGCCAATATTTGTAGCAACCAATAATGTAAAGTGTTCATTGGGTGTACACCATGTTTGAAGCCTACAAATTTAAGTAGATGTTCCTTACTTCAGTCTGTTCCTTAAAAAGACTTACCTGCCTATCTCTATTTTCATATTTACTAAGATATTGTTGTTACATAAGTCTCATATAGTCATTAAACAGTCTTGAAATCTCAGGTACTTACAAACATGAGGCGTGTAGGTATGTTGTCAGATTCTACCAAGGGGTTTTTATAGAGCCAGATCTCTTCTGGCTGAATAATTCTCTGGAATGGATCCAAAAATTCTGTAAAGCTAAATAAAAGAAAAAGAGAACACATTATTTGAATGTGTATCTCAAGGAAGAGAGTTTTAAAATGCTGGGGATTCCTGCATGCCACAATTACATGTAGAAACTCTTGAGACTGAAATCTTTCCCAAGTAGGGATAATAAAAAACAAGACATTTAAAACCTTCCCCATTTCTAGATAAACAGTGAAACATATATAAAGACACATTCACACAATAAATTAAACAAGGAAAACAAAATATTCATAGCTTTTCCAGCTTTTATATAGCTCAATATACAAGCTGGATCTTTTTTTTCTTTGCATTGTTATTAACCAAAGTGAAAGTGAGAAAACATTTCCGTCATGTGGTGAAATTGCCAAGCAATGGGATCCAATAAAGAGCAACTACAATAAAAAGCAACACTAAGAAAACATGGGAATTTCGGACAGGAAACAATCAGGACCAGCTAACACCTCCCTACAAACAATTTATTTATTTATTTACTACACTTATATACCGTCCCTCTCAGCCCAAGGGCGACTCGGAGCGGTTAACAATAGACAACAATTCGATGCCAGAACAGTTACAAAAATTAAAACAATCATAAATACTATTAAAACATAAACAGCAATAAAATATATAAGAACCATACACAGCATTAAAAACATTATCAAACATTATCCTCTAGGCAGCCAGGCTTTGAAGCAGCAAGGCCATTAAATGCTAATCAAGGTGGCCAACTGTAACAATCACACTTGCCTCATATAGACAAGTGTTCTTTCTCCCACCCCACTTGTCTAGTTTCCAACAGACCTCACAAGAGATCTTAGGATGCCTGCCATAGATATGGGCAAAAGGTCAGCAGAGAATGCTTCTGGGACATGGCCATACAACCCAGAAAAATCACAGCAACCCAATGGGATCCAACATTTGGAACAGTTTGGACTAACTTCCATACAGTAGACAAACTGCCCATCAAAGAAAATATTATTATCATCATTATCACCATTATCTCAGGACCAAGGTCAAAAGTGGCTGACAACCTTAAAAATGATACAATTTAATCACCCTGTATATATTTTAAAATAATTAAATGTTATAATTATTAAGAGAATTAAAATCTATTTAAAATGAATAAATACAAAATGATTTAAAACAAAGTGGAATGGGAGTGGGAAGGGGCACTATCTTGAACTTTGCTTCAGGTAGCAAAATATCTTGAAGTACTTTTGACAGAATCGAAGAAACTAACTGGGACCAGACACCATCCAGTGGTTGAAAGATACTCAAATTCACTGCATTCTTAAGTACTACTGCAATTTCAGCTCAGCTCTATGCCCAAACCATATGGTGCGTTGTTCAGATTAATAAAAATAAAAGAATCTTACATGGGTTGCTTTTATTTATAGAATGGAAAACCACAATGGGGGCCCAATTTCATTTCAGGCAGAGTCTCGAACAGATGTCTAGCAAAACGGCATGCTTGGGCCCAAGACATTTTGGGCTGTTACTAAAATTAATCACTTTTTCTAACAAAAAAATTATGATGAATCAGCTATTATTTCCCTCTTCTACAATATCATAAGAAAGACTGACTTATCTTCTGAACTACTAACCGGCAGGTCAGTAGATCAGGGATGTCAGCAATTTTGTATACAATTTTTACAGTGGCAATATCACAAGTTCAAAAAGGAAAACAGAACAAAGAGGATTATTGCAATGTTAAATTGTTATATTAAGAGATATCCAATCAGGGTTAAACTTCATCTGTTTTTTCTCGGGTAGGCAAGTTCATGAATTCAGTTTTCATGAAAAGTGTTCTGCCTCAAGCAAATGCATGTTGTTCAGAGCATTCCCATCTCTCTGATCTAGTATGAAAGTTTGGAGGTATACATCTTACTTACTTACTTACTTACTTAGGCGATCCCTCGTTGTTCGAGTAGGATTGTCTTCCAAGATCGGTGTACTAGCGATGGGTACGTAGGTGACTGTGGAGCCCTATTCTTGACCTGCATGTTCTCCCGCAGTGAGGGCATTGGTTTCCAGGTGGAAGCCGGTCGAAGTCGGGGTTGGCTTGACGCACCTTCCTCTTGGCACATTTTTCTATTTTGCCCTCAATTTGTGCCTCTTCAAATTCTACAGCACTACTGGTCACAGCTGACCTCCAGCTGAAGCACTCAAAGGCCAGGGCTTCCCAGTTCTCTGTGTCTATGCCAGAGTTTTTAAGGTTGACTTTGAGCCCATCTTTAAATCTCTTTTCCTGCCCACCAACATTCTCTTTTTCATTCTTGAGTAGAGTAACTGCTTTGGGAGACAGTGGTCGGGCATCCAGACAACATGGCCAGTCCAGCAGAGTTGATGATGGAGGACCATCGCTTCAATGCTGGTGGTCTTTGCTTCTTCCAGCACGCTTCCCAGGAGATTTGCAGAACTTTTCGGAGGCAACACTGATGGACTCGTTCTAGGAGTTGAATGTGACGTCTGTAGTCCACGTGTGTGTGTGTGTGTGTGTATAGGATCTGTTGTTTTGAGTGACATAACTCAAAATCCACTGGATGAATTGCTGTCAAATTTGGCCACAAGGCACCTACTAACCCAAGGAGTGACCATCACTCAAAAAAATTGATTTTGTCATTTGGGAGTTTTAGTTGCTGGGATGTATTATTCACCTACAATCAAAAGCATTCTGAATTCTATCACTGATGGAATTGAACCAAACTTGGCACACAAAACTCCCATGGCCAACGGAAAATACTGGAAGTGTTTGGTGGACATTGACCTTGAGCTTTGGAGTTGTAGTTCACCTACATCCAGAGAGCACTGTGGACTCAAATAATGAAAGATCTAAACCAAACCTGACACAAATACTCCATATGCCCAAATATGAACACAGATGGAGTTTGGGGGAAATAGATCTTGACATGAGGGAGTTGTAATTACTGGGATTTATAGTTCACCTACAATCAAAGGGCATTCTGAACCCCACCAATGATAGAATTGGGCCAAACATCCCACACAGAACCTCCATGACCAACAGAAAACACTGTGTTTTCTGGTGGTCTTTGGTGACCCTTCTTACACCCCCTTGGAAACCTGTTCTTCCTCTTTTCTTTCTTTTCCATTTAAACAGTCTGGGCCACAGCAACGTGTGGCTGGGTACAGCTAGTATATTATAAAATAATATATCAATATAGAATATAGAATAAGGTAACTATAGTACAACCCCCAAATCTATGGGAGGGGGGGTCATCCATTTGCATTAGCCACTCTGACAGCTCAATATAAGACATATTTATTTGGTCAATGAGAATAGGATATGCAGTTGCAAACATTATGAAATAAAAGGCAACTCTTTCCGAATTAAATGCGGATCCTTAAAATGGTCTGTAAACCATGCAAGTAACTTCTAGTGCTCTTTTTAAGGGAAAAGTGTGTCAAATAACAAATGCCAATACAAATGCTGTGTCTATACACTTATTTGTAACAGTATCAATTCCAACTGTATCTTCATTTTTGATAGCACAATCTATTATTGTTTTCAAAGTGAGCCCAATATTTTTTTCCTGATTGACAACTGGCAAATAGAGGGAGAAAACATGGAAGCAGAGACAGAATTTGTATTTCTAGGTGCAAAGATTACTGTAGATGCAGACTGCAGCCAGGAAATCAGGAGACGCTTACTTCTTGGGAGGAGAGCAATGACCAATCTCGATAAAATAGTGAAGAATAGAGATATCACACTGGCAACGAAGACCTGCATAGTTAAAGCAATGGTATTCTCCGTGGTAACCTATGGATGTGAGAGCTGGACCATAAGGAAGGCTGAGCGAAGGAAGATAGATGTTTTTGAACTGTGGTGCTGGATGAAAATTTTGAGAGGGCCTTGGACTGCGAGAAGATCCAACCAGTCCATATTCCAGGAAATAATGCTCAGCTGCTCATTGGAGGGAGGGGTATTAGAGGCAAAGATGAAGTACTTTGGTCACATAATGAGAAGACAGAAAAGCTGGGCAAGATAATGATGCTGGGGAAAATGGAAGGAAAAAGGAAGACCAAGGGCAAGATGGATGTATAGAATCCTTGATGTGACTGGTTTGATCTTGAAGGTGCCTAAAGGAGGGGTGGCCAACAGGAAGCTCTGGCATGGGCTGGTCCATGAGGTCACGAAAAGTCAGAAGTGACTGAACAAATAAATAACAACAACATTATTTTCCATGATTGTACTACCAGCAGAAGTAAATGCCCTCATAACCCTATTTTATCCAACACACAAGTTTTTCCTTCTGCATACCTATGGTGCTACCTCACATCAAATACTTTTTGATAAAATTTAAATGTTTTCCAAATGTATTGCTAACCTGGAAAAGAAGAAACACGGGGCAAGAAAACAATGGAGTTATATTTGAGAGTGTTTGGTTTAGAAAAAGGGGGTAAGAAGAGACATGGAAGTAGATAAAATAATTCATGGCATCAAAAAAGGGGAAGAGGAGCTCTCTTTCTCCCTCTCTCACACACACACACACGCAAAGACAGATACAATATTAGAACACAGCTGAAGGACAGGAGAATCGAGACAAAAGAAAGTACAATTCACACATTGCATATTTAATCTGTCAAACTCACTACTACATGATATAGTGATGTCTGCCACTTTGGACAGCTTTAAAGGCAATCAGACAAATTCATGCAGCATGGAGTTTGTCAGGCATGATGAACATATTCCCTGTAGTAAGAGAGGAAAATCTGTTTCTGTATAACAGTCACTGGGGATCAAAAGCATAAAATATCTTGTGGGGGTTTTGATTTCTCATTAGCAAATGGTTGCTCACTTTAAGCAAAATGTTAGGTTATATCAGACTCGGCTTGATTAAATGCTATTATTTCTTTATGTTGCAATGGTGGGATTCCCAGAGAAATTAATGGAAACTGTTATACTGTAGACTCTGAGTCAACCAGCATCCATAGCAAATGGGAGATGTCAAAAAAAGTAGTTTCTACTTGCTTGAGATAAACAAGTAGTATTA